ATTTATTTGAGAGAGAGAATGAGATAGAGAGAGCATGAGAGGGGGGAGGGTCAGAGGGAGAAGCAGACTCCCTGCCGAGCAGGGAGCCCGATGCGGGACTGGACTCGATCCAGGGACTCCAGGATCATGACCCGAGCCAAAGGCAGTCGCTTAACCGACTGAGCCACCCAGGCGCCCTCCCCTAACACTTTTTAAATGAAACTACTCTCTACCGCCCTTAAGTGCTCACTTAGTAACGGCTTTCTTTACCACTTATCGCTTATAATTCATCCGTCCTCAGGATGCCAGTCTGTAAGGTTTAACACATACAATTTTCCCACTAGAAGCTTTAGCACCAAACTCAAGAATAGGGCCGAGGTGGCTGCATTCACTAAGCTGACGGCATCATTTTGTTGAGGATACTCAACAAAAGGAAGCTACTTCCATGAAAGGTATCCAAAAAAGTACTTGCAAAAAATAGCCATCTAACAGGTACACTAATCCCTAATTTTACTTACTTCATTGCATTATCAAGAATATTCCTCACATACACCATGGACCTTCTTCTTCCTGTTTTCTAGAAGGGAGAACATGTCAGAGGTGTGGAAGGTACAGGTTTTGTGGGTGCCATTTTTCACACCAAGGACATAATGCAATATAGTAAAGAGTTTCAGAAAAAAGAAATATACTTTCCAAGTACTCAAAACACCTATGTTCTTAAAAATTAGTTAAAAAAGCATTTTAGGCTGAAATTATTATAGATGTAGAGGAAGTTGCAAATTAACTAGACAGTGTTGTGTTATGTACAATAACACTACAACTATACACGATGCTACAGAGAGATCTCATGTACGCTTCACCCAGCCTCCCACACCATGTTTTTATCTTATATAAAGGACTGTAGTACAATATCAAAATCAGGAGATGGATATTGCTAGAATGAGGGTATAGCCCTACGTCATTTCATCATGGATGTACATTCATGTACCACGATCAACATACAGAACTGTTCCATCCCCCCAAAGATCTCCCTTGTGCTCCCTTGTGTTGCAGTCCCAGCCACTCTCCTTTCAACTATCCATGACCCCTAGTAACCACTAATTTGGGAACACTTAGGTTTTTCAAATCAATTTTTAACTATACAAGTAATGCAAGAACACAGGTAAGACCGGGATGTTAATCTCACTTCTACTACGAACATGCTGCGTGTGTCCCTTAACCTCTGCGCACTTGATTTTCCTCCTCAAGAGAAGACAGATCAGAGATGCACTGTGGTCTTCTTGCAACAATGCAAAAGGGCCTGGCGGTGAGGGAGAGTGCGGTAAATTGAAGCCAGCCTTAGGACTTAAGGGCATCACCTCATCTGATGCACTATACTTTTGCTTCTTGCTTTATTTTTATGAATCCACACAAACCTCTTCTGAGATCAGGCTGTGCCATTCTCTCTGGACCATGCTGTTGTTATACAGCAAGGGTGGCTTGGAGTACTTAATGTATTCCAGGTTGGAGTTCAGTTTTTCCCAGTAGCCCTTAAAGCTGTGCACCTGCAGAAGACAAAAAGCATTGGTGAGCTTGAGAAGCAGGGCCCGTGGCCCCGACCAACCAGCCAGGACCACCCGAGCCTTGCGGCAAAGCCGGGCTCGCCTTACTTCTTCAGCTCTTAGAGGGCAGCATTTCTGAGTGAATTCTTCCCACGAAAGATGGCATTCTCCACCTGCAGGAGTTCTAAAATAGTAAGACTTAAAGAGTCTTGCTGTCCCCATTTCCTTTTCTGCCCCTTTTACAGAGAGCCACTGCCCCCTTCTCCAAACCAGTGTGAGTCACCTGGGTTAAGGCTAAGTTGGGAAGCCTGTATTAAACCCAGTGTTGTATTAAACACATCAGATCATTTCCTCTCCGGAGACCCATTTTTCTGACTTAGGTTGTGTCAACAATGCTATATCCAGTCAGAGAATGTGCATAAGACGTATGGCACATGGAAGAGGCTTACTTTCCTGCTGAGCTCATCTGCTTCCAAAAGATGTCTTCCAAAACCTAGGACTCAGAAAGGTGGAGTGAACTAGTTTTACATTCAGTCGTCAAATACTCCAAAACTCCAAAACAATTTTTGGCATCCTATCTAGGTCTCTGACATATTGCTATAATTGAAGCAATATTGTATCCATTATATTCATTTTTAAATACAATGCAATACTAACCCAGTCTTTAATACTGAGGGATGTATCGATACAAAACATTTTTTAATTTTTTAAGATTTATTTATTTAAGAGAGAGAGAGAACACGTGAGAGTGGGTGGAGCAGAGGAAGAGGGAGAGAGACTCTCAAGCAGACTCCCCACTGAGCGCGAAGCCCGATGCAGGGCTTTATCCCATGACCCTGAGATTGCCTGAGCTGAAACCAAGAGTCAGACGCTTAACAAACTGAGCCACCTGGGTGCTCCTGTTTTTTAATTTTAAAAATTTTATATTTAAGTATAATTAACATACAATGCTATATTAGTTTCAGGAGTACAATACAGTGATTCAAGAATTCTATACATTACTCAGTGCTCCCCACAGTAAGTGTAGTCACCATCTGTCACCAAACATTATGACAATCTTATTGACTAGATTCCCTCTGCAGTACGGTTCGTCTCTAAGACTTATTTATTTTATAACTGGAAGTTTGCACCTCTTAGTCCCCTTTATCTATTTCACCCATCCTCCCCCACCCAGTTCCCCTCTGGCAACCACTAGTTTGTTCTCTGTAATTAAGAGTCAGTTTTATGTCTCTTTTTATTTGTTTTGTTTCTTAAATTTTACATACAAGTGAAATCATGTGGTATTTGCCTTTCTCTGACTTATTTCACTTAGCATTATACTTATAGGTCTATCCATGTTGTCGCAATATTCCATTGTATACGTATACCACTTCTTTATCCGTTCATCAATGGATGGACATTTGGGTTGCTTCCATATCTTGGCTATTGTAAATGCTACAATAAACATAGGGGTGCGTCTATCTTTTCAGATTAGTATTTTCATTTTCTTTGAGTAAATACCCAGTAGTAGAATTACTAGATCATATGGTGATTCTAGTTTTAATTTTTTGAGGAAACTCCATACTGTTTTCTACAGGGGTTGCACCAATTTGCGTTTTCACTAACAGAGCACGAAAGTTCCTTTTTCTCCACATCCTCACCAACACTTGTTATTTTTTGTCTTTTTGATTCTAGCCACCCTGACAGGAGTGAGATGAAATCTCATTGTGGTTTTGATTTGCATTTCTTGATGATGAGTAATTTTGAGCATCTTTCCATGTGCCTGTTGGCCATCTGTATGTCTTCTTTGGAGAAATGTCTATTCAGATCCTATGCCCATTTTTAAATTGGATTATTTGGTTTTGGGGGGTTGAGTTGTATAAGTTTTTTATATATTTTGGATGCTAACCTCTTGTTGGATATATCATTAGCAAATATCTTCTCTCATTCAGTAGGTTGCTTTTTCGTTTTGTTGATGGTTTCCTTTGCTGTGCAAAAGCTTATTTTGATGTAGTCCCAGTAGTTTATTTTTGCTTTTGTTTTTCTTGCCTAAGGACACATTATCTAGAAAAATGTTTCTAGGGCTGATATCAAAGGATATACTGACACACATTGTTTTCTTAAATCAATGAAGATAGATTTATGATACACTTTCTTGCCAAAATATATGTGCTTGTAAAAGAATTGACTAGGGCCAAAAGTTCAATGTGTAGCCGTAAAACAAAGTGAGCTAATGCCTAGCGTGGTAACAGAGTTGGCTATATTGCAAAATAAATAAATAAATAAATAAATAAAATATGCCTCAATCAAGAAAAATGCCCTTATGTTAAATAATAGCACATTATCCGAATTCTTATTGAAAGGACAGTCACTATTGGTTCAAAATGAATTTTGGAACATTGGTAAATTACATAATAATATTAACGTGCTGTTTTAGAAGCCTGAAAGGCCCATCCAGCCAACATCCCTTCTCACAGAGACAAGAAAAACTATTTCCAAGAAAAGGTCATTTCTAGGGGAAACTGGAATCCTGGTGTCACATCACTCTTCCTGACTGACCCACCTCACTTACTACCTTTTCTTCCCCTTTCAACTTATTTATAATTAATGTATCTTTATCCACCCTCTGGTCTTCCTTCTACTGAAAAAAATAATAATGAAAGCAAATTCTGCCAACGTTTGGCCGTAGTAAGTGCCTAACAGGAAGTCACTGCAGCTTTCTTGCTCTTCTGCTGCTGGGTTCAGGCCCACGAGCGACAAAGCCCCACAACTAACTGGTGTTGTGGTGACATCTAGTGGTTGGTCAGGATATTAGCTCTGCCTGCTTTGCCGCAGCAGCCCCACCCCGTGGTCCCACAGGGACCAACCACACTGTGTCACCACGCATGTGGTCATGTGGTCATGAGGAACACGGGTGCCCTCCTACCCATCAAAGGGCCTCTTCCCCTCGGGCTGAATGTCACTGTCCTGTCAGAAGACCCCACGCACACACTGTAGCTCCTAAGAAAAGATCTCTCCCAAGCGACCTTCTTTCCCCTTCCGCCCCCATTAAAAAAAATCCCTTTTCTCAGCTGAGAACAGCTCAAACAAGTCCATGGATGGGCTACAAAGGGGCTTAGGAACCCACTGACTGTATGCAGAATGGAGTGAGTTGTGGGAGCACGTTCCTAGGGACGAGGTCTGCAGCTTGCACCACATGTTCAAAGGAATCCATAACCTACAATAGTTCAAAACCCCTGAGTTAGAAGGAAAAGGATCAGAGTTTAAAAAATAAACAAACAAAACCCACTTATATTTAAATTAGAAACACTGTTCACCAAGAGTCCAGGAAATATGTTACTATACACCTGTAGGTCTTTCAAGAAGGTCACGGGGCTGGATGTTACAATGCAGACGAAAACAATTAGTGTCATATGTCACTACATGGTATCTATGAGGTAAGTGATAGGATTTTTTTTTTTAAGATTTTATTTATTTGACACAGAGAGAGAGCACACAAGCAGGGGGAGCGACAGGTAGAGGGAGAGGGGGAAGCAGACTCCCTGCTGAGCAAGGAGCCCGATTAGGGACTTGATCCCAGGACCCTGGGATCATGACCTGAGCCGAAGGCAGACGCTTAACCGACTGAGTCACCCATGCACCCTATCAATAAGTGATAGGATTTTTTAAGTTATGAAAAATCTCAGAGATCACTGTAAATTAGGAGGTCTATTTGGAAGCCTGGGTAATAGATAAGACCCAGAGTTTGAAAATGGATTTGAGTAAGTGAAAGACAAGGAGAGGATGTTCCAGATGGGGCACTTAGGGAGAGAGCAAAAACTGAGAGACGAGAATGTGGATTCTGGGTTTAGATCAGAGGCAGAGCATTAGAAAAAGCAACAACAGCACTTCATTCTCTGTGGTGAAGACATCTGCCTCTAGCATGCACCTGGCTGGCATCCTCCAGATCTTGAACTGCGGTGGGGTGTGACCTGAGCTTCCTGAGTTTCAGAAGCTCCCCGGGCAACCCTCGTGCTCAGCCAGGGCAGAGAACACTGCTTGAGCCTGCCCAGGTAATCTCCGTCTCCCACCCACCCTCACGTGTTTTCCTCACCTTCGTGCTTACAGACTTACAGGCTGATGAAGAACCAGCTGTCTGAAAACGTGTGATTGTGTTGTTAATTAATAGGAGACACGGTTAAAGAGGAGGTTAGAGCCAATCTAGGATGGATCTCGGATGTCAAGATAACAACAACCTGCTCATTAACCCAGAGACTTAAAGCAGCTCCAAGATAAAATTTTAGATGCTTGAACATAGAATGGGGGGAAGGAGTGGAAGCTGCGCAATCACATCCGAACAGTCCACCTGGGAGCACAGAAAAAAACACTCCTGTATCTGTCAGTTGGTACTTCCGGAACTCATTGTGAACTGAACACAGTGTTCATATCAGGGACAATGGCATCGACACAAAGTAAAAGCCACAAGAGCCCAAGAAGCACATGGCAGGCTACTTCAGAAGAGCGCAGAAAGCCTTAAAATACACAAAAATATTTTATAAGAAAATACTCATGAATGTAGCTACTTCTGGGAGATGCTGGTGTGAGAAGCCATCAGATTCTCAAGGAAGCCCCCAGAAGTGTTTTCCTGCACAAGGAGGAGTTTTAAAGTTTGATTTTGAAAGAAGGGAAATTATCCCAAGTCTCTTCTTGAAAAATCAGGGCGCCTGGCCGGCTCAGTCAGAGCACATGACTCTTGATCTTGGGGTAGTGAGTTCGAGCCCCATGTTGGGTGTGGAGATTACTTAAAAAAAAAAAAAGAGAATCTCATTTTGTCTCTTAGGAGGACATGAAATAATTACCGAAATAATTACCATCAAAATTATTAATTGAACAAAAGGACCAGAGGGTTACATTAAGGGATTGTTCCTCATCTATGGATTGCTAGTTGATTTTAGGAGATTAAAAAAAAAAAGCCCTGTGGTACTGGTTCATCTGCAAATTACTGCCAGGAAAAAAAACATCTGCCTTTCATTTCTAAAAAGCCC